AACAGACAATCAACACTACTCTTGACAATTTCTTAGCATAAACAGGTTTAAACCATAGGTACTGATTAATCGTAAGTGCGGAAATAAACGTAACATAACGGGGAAAAACCATCCCAACCTCAGCCCGATGATCGGGGTGTCACAAGTCACGAGCTACTACAGAGTTGGTGAAAATACTACAAGTCTGGAAATATAGTCTGAAGATGAATAAAATATGCAGAAGATAAGGAAGAAAACGGGGCTGTGGACGTCGACAGCTACCTCGTCTCTCCTAGTCCGCCTGGTCTGGAAGGAAATCAGCGCTCAGGTACGAACTCAGTTGTGCCTGTCTCTGCACACATGGTGCAGGAAGTAATGTGAGTACTCCGACCCAGTGAGTAATAAAATTAAATAACGACTGAGAACATAAAATCCCACAAGGGCACAAATAATGCTATCTCAAGAAGCAACATCAGATAAACAGTAGAAACCAGTGAAAAATATAGGAAGAAAATCTCTTTGAAAACAATTAATAAAACAAGTATGCTCAAGTATGGTCAGCCATTGTTACCTGACCAAACGCGTATTACAGTGCCATTGTTACCACTGGTCAGTCTTTATTACCTGACTGGTCAGTCATTGTTACCTGACCAAAGGCGTATTACAGTGTCATTGTTACCACTGTTCAATATTTAATCACTCTAGATGGGTACCCGCGCTCACTGCGGGTGTGCAGACTCCGGAGGGGCTCCTACAGCCCAAGCGCTATCAACAAAGCCTGAAAGCCTGAACAGTATCAATACGAGGCCTGAAAGCCTCCTCACCTCACTCATCATGCCCTCACATAAGGCCCTCGGCCTCAATCAGTCCAAAAATAGTCAACAGCCCCTCGGGCAACAGTAAAGCAATGATACTCAGCTCAAACAATAGTTCAAATATCAGTTTAAAACTCCAAGTTTGAGTAAATATGGCTGAGTTCATGTTGAGGTAGCTGCCTGACGTCCGCAGGACCCGACTTCTCCCCTTTATTGCATTGTCTTTTCCTATCCTAGCCTTTTCTTTATTACTATGAATATAACACTCTGTTACATTTAGAGGCTCTAGACTCGTGACTCCGGATCTATTGGGGAAATGTTTGATATATTCGTTATTATTTTTCGTACTACTTTATCTAAATTCCGGATTTGGAACTTGATACTTATTATTTTAATGGTATTATTGGTTAACAGTTTGCGTATTTGGGTTGAGAGTGTTTAATTGGTCGGCTTGCCTAGCATTAGTGTTGGGCGCCATCACGACCGGGTTTGGGTTCGTGACAAGTTGGTATCAGAGCCTAGGTTACTAGGCCTCATGAGTCATGAGCCGGTTTAGTAGAGTCTCGTGGAACGATACGGGGACGCCTGTATTTCTCCACGAGAGGCTGCAGAACCTTTAGGAAAAACTTCACTTTCTTAGAATTCTTCTCGTGCGTACTTGATTCAGCTTGAGATATACCTCTTGAAATTCCTTCCACACGTCAGTATGCGCACATGAGCGCTTAGTAGTATATGCGCCTTGATGGCTTGTGCTTCCCCGATCGAGGGGGGGTGAGATGTAATCTCCGTGAGTTGATGTTGGACCAGTCTGGAGGACATGAGGCCGGATCTTTGCCTATGGCTTGAGCACCGAGGTGCTGATTGTGTGAACAAGTGATTTGAACTTATATGTTCAATATTGTCCCAAATTGTGGGAATGGCTGCTGGATAGCTACGTAATGAGTATGTTGGTACTGTGTAGTGTGTATAACAGTGGAAGGTATACAAAAACATGAACTAAAGGTAAAGCTAATGGGTAATTGGCTTATGAGGGGAAACCATTTGTTATACTAGTTAGATAAGTCTGGGAGCTAAGATCGCTTCTGTAAATGCATTATGACGAAATCTATGTCGAGGAGCACACCGTGAAGGCCGAAAACATTAAGGAGAGAATATATTCTTACTCGGTTGAATATCCCAATAATGGAGGATCGAAAGGTATCTTCTATGTGTTATGCTTCGAATAGGTGCAACCCACGCCCATGTATCAATTTTGATAATATAATACATGTAGTATTGAGATTTATGTTGATATATATTGTGATGCTTGTCAAGTTGTGGCCGTGTTGCTAGTATGGTTTTGGTGATTCTCTGGTAGGTGGATAGGCCCAATTACAAGGGAAACTCTGCCGAAATTTTTTTGAAAAAAAAAAATTGGGACTTAGTGAAAATTTGGTCGCCTGGAGGGTAGGCTTAACTGTTATGTGAGTGAATGCAAGAAAATGCAGAAGAGTTAAAATTCCAGATGAATTGAGT